AGCAGGAGCTCTCACCCAGGTAGTCTGGTGTAAAGAAGGAAGTCGGGGGCACAGATGCCCACGTCGTGCCCCAGCCCCAACCTGCACATAGCGCTCAGGACAGGTGGTGAGAGCCAACAGCTTGCCTGTGCAGGGAGAGGGAAGGCAACCCAGAGAGGTTGGGGTGGCCATCTAGTTTACAAAACCCCACTCATCCTTGTCCCAAGCCACCGTAGTTAGGAGCCCAGCGGGAGTGCAATATGTCCTTTCACTTGCAGAAGGGAACGAGACACCCCTGGTGTGCGTTTCAGATCTATACGGGGATATATATATATATATATATGGCCAGAGACAGAGTGACATTTATATTTTTAAAGGTGTGGTCCGGCCGCGAGTAGGCTCTCTCTTTCCGATATTGCCTTGCACTCTCTTCTCTGCTGCTGTCACCTTTGCTGCTGCTTTCAGGAAGAGTTTAACAGGTATTGGCAAAGAACAAGACTGTTTTATTAAAGCCTTCAGCCACTATTCTGTTTGGAAACAAAACAAAACAACAAAACAAAACAAACCAGTGTAATTATTCCTCTAGTTTCTGGAATAGAACCGGGTGAATTTTAAACCGCAGTGGTCGCACGTCTGCTTGCTGTTGAAACGCCATGTGTTGTCTTGGGTGAGGATCATAGGAAAGTCGGGCTGGAAGGGACCTCACAAGATCATCTAGTCCAGCCGCCTGCTCCAGGCAGGACCATCCATGACTAAGCCTGCCCAGTGTCCAACCTGCTCTTGAAGACTTCCACGGATGGAGCTCCTACAACTCCTCTGTGCAGTCTGCTCCAATGCCTGAATACCCTCAGAGCCATAGAAAATGAGGGCTGGAAGGACCTCAGGAGGTCACATCTAGTCCAACCCCTGCTCCAAGCAGGACCAGCCCCAACGACATCATCCCAGACAAAACTTTGTTGAGCCAAGTCTTCAAAACCTCCAAGGATGGAGAGTCCACCACCTCTCTGGGTAACCAGTCACAGTGCTTCACCACCCAATTAGTGAAAAAGTTTTTCCTGATATCCAACCTCAACTTCCCTTGCTGCAGCTTGAGCCCATTACTCCTTGTCCTGTTATTTGCCCCCACTGAGACCAGCCCAGCTCAATCCTCTTTGCAACCCGCCTGCAGGGAGGTGAAGGTAGTCAGAAAGATCCTCATCTCCAACCTACATTTCTCCTGCTGCAGCTTAAGGCTGTTGCTCCTAGTCCTTTCCCCTGCAGCCACAAAGAAAAGCGCCTCTCCATCCTCTCCACAAGAGGATGGAGATTTGAGGGCAGTTATCCAATCCTCCCTCTACTTCTCTTCTCTAAACTAAATAGCTCCAATTCCTTCAGTCTTTCCTCATAGGCCCCTGATCATTTCTGTTGCTCTGCATTGGATTCATTTTAATCTGTCTATGTCCTTCTTGAAGTTCAAAACCGGACACACTGCTCCAGGTGAGGCCTCACTGGTCCTGAAGAGAGCAGAAAAATCACTTCCCTTAATTTGCAAGTGACTTTCCTGTTGGTACAACCCAGGAAGCTGTTGGGCTTTTTTTGCAACAAGGGCACATTGTTGGCTCACATTCTGCTTATGGTCCACTGTAACCCTCACTCTTCTCTGCAGCGCAGGCAGTTGCTCCCCAGGCTCTCTGCGCATGCAGTTGTTCCATCTCAAGTGCAGGACTTGGCACTTGTCCTTGAATTTCAGCTGATTGATTGCAAACCAGTTTTCCAGTCTCTCCTGATCATTCTGGACCTGTGACATTTTGCTATGAGAGCAGACAATGGATTTGTCTGGGATGGTTTAGACAGGGCTGATCCTGCCTCATGCAGGAGTTGGCCTAGATGTGACCTCTGGAGATCCCTTCCAGCCCCACTTCTCAATGACCTGCGAGTAGCTCTACCCTCCAACACATCTGCAACTCTACCCAACTTGGTGGCTTGGTCTTTTCCAGACCACTTTGGGTCACTGGCTCTGGGAGAGGAAAGAAAACAGGTCCCAGCCCAAACATTCACTGTAGGCACGCGCAGACATGAAGCAGACACATGAACCTGAACCAGGGCCATCAGAGGAGATGAAGGGTAGTGCCCACTGGACAAACACGCACTGCTTTGAGCAGTGGTTTTCTATGCCCTTTGTGAAGGTGACACTCCCCTTAATACAGAGAAAAAGTGATGGACAGATTTTGTTCCAGGTTTCTCAGCCCTTCAGGCTCCAGGTCATAGTTCAGAAAACCCATCTGGCTCCCTAGAACTAGAGCCAAAGGGCTTTGGTATCAATGGAGGCATCAAGCACCGAGTCCAAGGTGTCAGGATGGCTGGCTGGCACCAAGGTCTTCGCAGCTGATGCCAATCCCTGCAAGCGCTCATGTGGGCACCTGCCAAGTCACTTAAGACATGACACTGCTTCTGCCTCAGTCCTGGCCCCAGCAGGACTCTGACATTGGCTGTTCCCCTATGTCCCAGGCCCAATCGCATGAGCATCCTCAGGGTACAGCTGATCCATGCACAGGACAACAGGGGATGAGGCTGCTCTGCAGGGAGGTGGGATACAGTGAATCACCTCTCAACTGCGCCCAATTTGGAGCTAAGACTTGCGCCCTGGGCTGCTCCGTCCCAGGAGCTTGGTCTAGCACCAAGGTATTGCATGCTGCAGGGCAAGACTCCTCCTGCTGATGCTGGTCTGTTTGGCACCAATGGATATTCATTAAGTGGGGAGGCTTTGCAGTCCCAAGGCTAGAGCCCTCTTCTGGACCAGGGAGACCCTGCAAATCTCAGCTCTGGTGAGTATTCACATACACCAAGTGGGACATCAACAGGGCAGCTGGTCACTCCCCCTGAACACTTCAGCCTGCTGCCCACGGCAGTGTCAAGGCCAAAGGATGCCAGCTTTGGGCCTTTGCTGCAGCCAGAATTTGAAGAAGGTTCTCCCCCACTACTAGGCAGATGCCCCAAGTACTACGCTATGGCTATAATGCATGATCTCAGTGGTACTGTCATTCCTGGACGTTGGCCCCACACCACCCTGTTACTTACACTGGGGCAAGTACGGGAACAACAGAATGAAAAGACGGAGCAGCAGGAGAAAGTCAAGGCCACTGACTGCTCCCAGGAGCCAACACCGAGCACTGGTGAACTTGCAGTGGTCAGTGAGACAGATTAAGCTCTGCTCAAATCATTTCAAACCAGGCCTGCTCAAGCACTCCCCACCTGAGAGGTATGGGGGCACAAGGAACAGATCAGGGGCTTTCAGAAGCAGCCACTGCCCCAGCAACGCCCCCTTTGCGAGAGCACACACCCAGCCTGAGGTTAATACAAGACATAGTGCCTGGAAGTCACCAGGCCTTCACCTGGGACCCACCCCCTCCTCTCTAATGCACTGAGCTTTCCAGTGTGACCAGGTTCTTACCAAGACATTTTGGGGCATTAAGCCCTAAAAAATGCTGTGGAAAAACCCCTTCCTTTGCACTGAGGATTGGTGCAACATGAGCCCCGAGACAATGCTCAGCAGCTCATGACACGGAGACAGGAGGGCTTGTTTTCTGAATGGCACGGGACAATAAACAGGTCATTTCAGTCTCACTGGAGAAGGGGACAGGTCACTTCAGTCTCTCTGTAGTTCAACCCAAGTGAGCTGCAGGAAAAGCAGCATTACATTCAACATAGCACACAGATGCTGCTATAGCAGCAGCAGGCCCCAGAATGGCACTGGGGTGGGAAGCAGGGGGAAAGGAGGATGCCAACATCACTAGCTGACTGATAGTGCAGGGAACAGGGCTGGTTCCCTTCAGGGCTCTAGTTAGAGGCTACACATTACACAGCGCAGGAATCCAAGCAAGTTGCCTGGGCCCTGTGCAACCCTTCAGAAACACCCCCACAAGCTCTGTGAGCCAAAGGGACTCAATCTCCCAGGCAGAAATACAGTGCTTGGAAAAGCTTCCCCTTGTGGAAATTCAGGCTGCAAGGGCAGGTTGGAGGCCGCATTTAACCCAAACAGTCTCAGAGGTAGAATAAAAGCCCGCTGTTGTCTCCTTCCAGGGGAATTTAAAACTCAAACCTTGCAGCTCTAGGCTAACACAAGAGAGGAACAGAAACTCGGCTGTCTCGTGTCACAGGGGAGACTTCAGATACAAGTTCAATACGCAGAGATCAGAGTAAGAAGTCACAAAGTTTCCTATAACAATCACTGTTTTATTAAGTTAAAAAAGTGAAAGTGCCTCCAGGAAGCATCATTTGAAAAAAAAGGGAAGGCAAAAGCCAGCACAGATGAGGGCACAGGGAAAGCAGCTCAGGAATGTAATGTAAAGGGGAGGTGCACTGGCTCTGCCAAGCTGCTGAGAATTTTAATGCATCCCAAAGGTTTTATCACAAAGGCTTCAGCGTTCAGTTCCAGTCCTGTTCGCGCACAGAAGCGCGTGCCCGTGATTTCTGCCTAGCTGAAGTTATCACCAGACACGTTCTGGGCTCTCCTTGTCAAATCTTTTAACCAAAGCCTCCACCACAATCATCGAATGATTAGGAAACCCTGGCCCCTGGGCCAGCCACACTACCATCACCAAGGGGCACTCGTACTGATCCAGCCTTAGGGCAATCTCCTCACAAGGCCTAGAAGTATCCAGGCCACTTAAAGAGCAGCACAGAGGGAGTTTACACCTGCTCCGCACCACTCAATGCTCAGGGGCCAGATAAAGAGCTGACCATGGCCTAAGCCTGGTGCCTGGTGTTCGCTGGTACCAATTTCTCTCATCCAAGTAGCTCGTGACTTTGAAAATCTCAGGTGTCCCATTCCAGCGGTAAGAAATGTTTCCTGCCCAGCCCACTGAGGTACTAGAAAGAAAGAGGGAGTGTGTGCAGAGAGTGTGCTCAGACCAGGCACGTCAAGACCTCTGGGGGCCTGGGTCCTTGGCACTGTGGGGTCTGGTTCACCTGTTCCTCTGGTTCACCAGTCCAGTGTGAAGAGCACGGATCCAGCAGCAACCTCAGGGTACAAGGTGTACAATCTGGTGAGCGGACAGGTGCTGTCCACTTACTCCATGTCATCTGGCATCTCTGCTGCCTTTCTGAAGGTGTCAAAGGCTTTGTGCAGGGCCATGTGCATGAACAAGGAGGAATGAGTCGCCGCCTTCTCCAGCAGCGAGGCAGGTACATCCTCTGCGCCAACAAGAAACCAATAAGTCAGTGGGGATAAGAAGTATGCCATCTCACCACTGGCACCTGCTACAGCTCTTGATCTCTCCTCCCTGCCCTAGAGGGTTTCAGTCCCAATGATCTCCCCATACTCGCTTTCCCTTCCCCATGTCCACCCTGACAGAGGAGCAGAGTAGACAGCTGCCTGCGGTGAAAGGGCTGTCTGGCTTCAGCCTCAGTTTCCTGGCTCTGAGACAGCCCCTGCCTTGGGCACCTCGTACGCTTAGCTTATCCACCTAACTGCTTTCCCCTACTAGCACGCATCACTGCAGCATCGAAGTCTGCCCCCACCACCCCACCCCTCTCCCTCAGCAGGAGGAAGCCAGAGGGAAAGGAACCACCTCTAACATCACCCCTCCTCTGCTGGCTGTGACCCACGGGCACTGAGGCTGGAGTGTGGCCTTGGACCCACCCCAGCACAGCTGGCATCAAACCACACTGCCCACCACTTATGGTGCCACTTCCAGTGTTTTAGCATGCTGCACACACCAATGCCATCCAACCATGTGGCAAGCATTGTAAAGGTCGGATCTTGCCCCGCAAAGAAGCTGAACCCTGTGGACAGGCCAATGACCTCTCCCAGCAGCTGGACTCAAAGCCTGCTGGGGGTTTGCCTTGTGGCCATAAAGGGCTCATTG